ATCTCTCTCATCTACCAATTATCTATCATCTAACTCTATCATCTGTCATCTATCTATACCTGTCATCTCTCTCTCTCTCTCTCTCTCTCTCAGAATTGACCTTCTGCTCTCCGAGTGTATCCGTCTCCACCATCACTAGATGTTGCAAAATCATTCTCCAGAAGGCTGGCGTGCATTTACCACAGCACGAACGAGCTTCCCTGGCCCCATGGCATCACCCACACTTGTCAGACTGATGAGCATAAAACAAGACACTCTCCTGTCTCACTTGGACATCACTTGACTGAGCCCCCTTTCTGTGCACCGCTCCTTTCCATGCTGTGCACCGGTGGTGCCAAGGCGGCACTGTGCTGATGTGCTGAACGGGTGTGTATTCCCAGCCTTGGTGGAGTGTTTTCCTAGCTGGATGCTCCCTTATGTTCTTTTCACAAACAATCTCACTTATGACTCACAATAACCTGAAAGAGGGAGGCAGAAATGATTATATCCACCTTACAGATTTATCTCTGTATCGTATATTCATTCAATGAAATATTGAGTGACTACCCTGAGCCAGCCACAAATAGAGTTGATCCTCAGCTTCCTAAAAGAGGAGGCATCTGGTGGCCATTTGCTGTTGGTGGCTGCCCAGATCTGTTGCCCTCTCCCAATGACAGCCCCATTTCCCACTGGTGGTTGTTCTACCTGCATGTATGGCCTTGGTGGAGAGAAAAATTCAGGTAATGACCTTCCAACTATGAAGTGTACCTGCTGGACCTTCCCTATCTTGCCCCAGTATAGCAGGGAGCAACAAACTGGGCACTGTCTCCCAGGACTTTGAGTTTGAATGGCTCCCAAGGGAGAGGCGGGGGCCAAAGGGATTGTTGCAGATTATGGGGGCCAACCCTAATCAGACCCCTCTGTGGGTGAGGGAGCTGTGTGTGTCCTGCCTCCTACTTTCTTGGCTCATTGTCCAGTCACCTGTCCTTTGTGTGGCATGCTGGACTTCCTTCTAACAAAGTTCCTTCTGTTACCCAGAGTGGGACTCTGGGACTCATAATAAGACCTAGAGGTTCCAACCAGGTCTTATGTGGGATCTATGAGAAACCAGAGAGGGCCCTCATCCATGGGCCTGCCCTCCTCCTGGATCTGAGTGTCACCTTGGGACTGAGAAGCTCTTCTGCTATGACCCTGGGGGTAGGATCATTAGGGAAAGTCTGTAATGTCCCATCCTCAGTGTATGCAACTCCATGTAGCTGCCACCTGGGATCCTGGGCCCCTGGACCCCTGGGCTGGGGGAGAAATTTGCTCCTTTGAGAAGAACCCAAGCCCTGGCCATGGCAGATGCAGGCCCTGACATGACTGAAGGATGACCCTCCAACCGGTGAATGGGTCGTGGAGTCATACCAATGATCTGCTAAACCCATAGAATTTTTTTCTGGGGCAAATAGCTTTTTACTGGAATTCCCAAGGGCTATATAGTTTTTCCCCAGGATAGAAAATCATTCTGTAGGCCTGTGGCCCCAGGAAGCTCCTCACCTCTGCTCTGTTCTCCCTGTACAGTATAGTCTGGGGTCCCACGACCACCCCTCTTTCTCAGCCGGATCGGGGGCTCCCTGAGGAGAAATCCACTTGTGTTCATCTCACTCCCTACAGTGCCAGGCGTGGGTCTCGGCACAGAGATTTCCAGTTGAATGAGCGGAGCTCCCTAATCCCGAGACACAGAGGATCCTATTTAACCTGGAGGTGCCTTGTCCCCAGAGGGGGCGGCAGTTGGAAAAACTCTTGGTTGCACGTATATTTGCTGAGTATTCCTGAATACTGGCACTCTGCTGTGTGCTGGGGGTACAGGATCGAAAATTATATGGTCCTTGACCTTGAGGAACTCACAATCTCATAGGACAGACAAGTGGAGAAACAGTTTCAATGAAATAAAAGCTGCCACAGAGGCATCAGGACCAGGTTTCAGAGACCAATGCCTCTCTTTGCAGATAAGGAAACCGAGGCTGAGAGAGGGGCTGAGGTCCAATGGTAGGGCCAAGGCTCAAGTTCAGACATCTGTAGGCACAAGGTAGAGGTCTACCCACCACTCTCTGTTCTTCCTGATGCTACTGATAAGTTAATTATGTAAAGAGTTAAAATACTTGTTGAGTGCTGACGATGACTTTGGCACTGTGCCTTGTGGGATGCAGAGGGGAGCCAGGCACATGCAGACACTGACCGAGGTTTATGGCCAGGTGGGAGGACAGACATGCTGAAGAGAACTTCCTGAATGACGAATGTGGTTAGAAGGAGGTCAGGGTGCAGGGGAGGGGGCATCTCAGACACAGCCTGTAGGGCTTCTCCAATTCATTCACTCATTCATTGCATTCCTTCAAAAGTATTTAGAGTCAAGCATTGCCAGACATTTTCTCAGTCCTTCCCAGCACACCTGTCTCCCAGGGTTGCACACATCTTAGCTGAAAGCAAGAAAAATTTCTAGTAGCAGAGGGAACTTGCATGAACAAGAGCAGTGGATTCGGAAATGGAGAAATTATCAGAGCTTTTTAACAGGAGTCTAATTGTGCGTCTTCACGCCTTCTGTTGCCAGCTGAACATTCTATCCTGGGCTCCAGATTAGCAGTCTCCTGTGTTCCTGTCGTATTAGGAACACAGGGTGGCTGCTTTGAAATTTGGTGTGATTGGGAATGACATTGAGACAACAGGGGTACAATAGATACAAGCTTCGTGCCATCTGCCCAAAAGCCCGTCTTAGTCTCCATTCTGTAGGTCCTCCTTGATCTTGCCTCTATTAACCAGACCCCTTGCTTGCCATCCCTCCCTGACTCCTTGCCCTCTCCACCTGTCTCAGTGACAAGTTCAGAGGATTCATTATGGAATAGACCCTCCTCCTTGGCCTCAGGCGACTCCTGGCCTCATAGGGGAGACCAGCAAGGCTCTTGGCAACCCAGTAGAAACAGCTATGGAACGGATGAGAAATGCCGAGAACACAGCTCCCTCCCTGCTGGAGTTTCAGCCTAGGCTCATGGAACGAGGATGGCTGAGTAGGAGAGGGTTAGAGTGAGAAGGGAGACATATTCTGGAAAAGAGCAGACTATGCCCAGGCCAAACCTTGGGACTGGAGGACAGTGACCGGGGCAAAGGTGGGTTGGGGGCCCACGACTGAGACAGACGGAGAAGGACCTTCACAAGAAAGGACACTTCCTCACTGAGCACTGACCACACGCGCTCTGGGTTAGGCCTAGGGGTGTCCTTGCCTATGTCTGGCAGGACAGGAAACCGAGTGTCCCAGCAGCCCAGATCCAGAGATCCAGAGCAGAGCCAGGATCTCGGGGCCCATGATAATGGGCTCAGTCTTGCTTCTGAGCTTATCGACGCTCCCCCAGGAGTCTAGGTGTCTACACAGGGCCCTCTGGCCTCTGTCTACCTGGCGGGGCCCTGACCTGTGATGGGTGCAGGATGCTTGCCTCTTCCTGCCCCTGCCAGGCTCCCAGCCCCTGGGCGCCCCTCCTCCCAGGCCATCCTGTGGCCACCCGAGGCTGCGGGAGCCGGTCACGCTTCCCCGCTGCGCACGCGTGTGTTTACGTTTCTGCCCCAGACGGCCCCACTGGCTTCCAGAGCATTTATCAGGGCCTGTGTATGTTTTTCTTGTGTGGGATTTGAAATGATTTCTTTAAACAAGATCTAAACTGGGATTGATTTCCTCTCTTTATGTAGAGTAGTTTGTTTTGTAATACGGTTCTTTTAACAGTCTAAATTGTGGGAACTGGGGAGGAAAAAAGAGAATTTGCTGACTTCATATAAATACAAATTACTTTATCTCTCTTTGAAGACTCCCATGTCTTCTCCTTGGAAAGGCTGGAGCCAAATTCTTTGGGGGTCCTTTCCTTGTCAGAATTGTTATGATGAGATTGATACACCCGCCGTGAGACTTCCATTCTGGGACTGAGAATTCAAAACAACCCTGGCCTTTGTACGGTGCTTTGTACTTTTCTTCAAACCCATATCCATTACTCTGATCTTCGCGACATAAAATTCTCCTTAAATATGATGTTCATAAGAGCTCCAAGAGATGAAGACATCGATAGAGGAGGAAATGGCTTGTCAGTCTGACTGTGCTCCTGACCTGGGAAGTACTGGGTCCCTGGCCGAGTCGCTTGGTCATCCATGTGTTGATTCCATAAGTATCTTTCAGTGCTCACGATGGGGCAGACTCTGAGCTGGAAACAACCCTCAAGATGAGCTACTGCACTTTTCCCATCCACTGTTTGAATCTTTTTGCCCCCAACAACTTGCAGGTTGCAGTTTCCCTGCATGCCCCCAGTGACAGGGAGCTCACCATCTACAAGGCTGGCCCTGACCACTAGGCACAGCTCAGATTGTTAGAATCCTCTCTTTCATTGAGCCAAAACCATCGCCCTGTATACTTCTCCCATGCCACCCCTGCTGGCCCGTATCATAGCATGCCTTCACCTCATCCTCTCTTCTCCAGAATTGTCTATGTTCTGCATGGTGCTGACCTCTGGCTTTTTTTTTCTTTTTCATACATCAGACCTGGCAGCTTATCACAGGGCAAGGCCGTCTTTTCCCTTATTCTGGGCCTTATAAGTGGATCAATACACCACCCACTGGTCTTGGCTCACTTGGAGTTAGGTCATTCTTGCTGAATGATATCGACCTCATGCTGACAAAAACCCACCATTCTTTTCCTGACATCTTCCACATGGGTCCTTAGACTGGGCTCGGGAGGCAGATTTCACATTTATGGCTGCTTTGTTGAACCCCACGACGCAAGACCCATTGCCCAGTCTCCGCAGAGCCTGGGCGTCCTCACTTCATTGTCACTCAAGGTTGCCTTTCTACCACATACTGGGCCAGCCCACCACCCACTTCCTTGCCAAGCACTAACTAAATAGTTACGGAGCACTGAGCCCAGGAGAGGCCCTCTGGTTGGCTCGCTCTGGTTCATTAGCAAATGAACCTTGTATCCTTGCTATTACCCAACTTGTCCAGAAGGAGAACGTGACCTACTTTGTGGGGTTCATTTCATCTCCTGGATCTTCCTGATATCCCAGGCCAGGGAGCCTGTTAAGAAAGGAGTGACATTTAAAATAACTTACTTTTAAAGCTCCCAGGATGGTTCCCAGGGCGCAGTGCTTTCCTGGTGTGCCTTCAGGTGCTCTGTGTACTTATCTATTCTAGAGAGGATTAGGGTAAGTTTTTTGTTCGTTTGTTTTTTGTTTTTTTTTTTGTCAATGGTTGCATGGCGTTGGGAAAAGGAGAGTCATAAAAGAAATTAGAAAAGTCGGTCACAGGCAGAAATGGAGGGTCCTGAAAGGGCTCTGAGGAGTCTGTAGTTTGTCGGCAGTTCTGTCTAATTTGGAACAGACACAAGATACAATCTCAACCCTTTGTTGATTTTGGATTCTCTCTCACTCCCTCTCTCTCATTTTTATAAGGTTTCCAAATAACGGTCTAACAAGTTGTGAAGCTGAAAGCCTTGATTTCCAGGTTGTGTCTTCTGTAGCAATAAACAAACCCTTCTGGGTTTAACCACATAATTTATCTCACAAACTAGAATTCTTGAGAATGGGGTGGGAGTACTATTAATAATTATGCCAGGACTCTAGAGGTAACCTAAGAGTTCTCTGGACAAATTCCACTGAGTCACACTCGGCATTCCTTCCAGACACCCTGGGATACTCCAGCCTTTGACTCTGAGAAGGAGCAGATAGGTGGGGATCACATTTCACTTTGACCCTGCGTGGGCTGCAGGGGGGAGGGGAGGGGGTGCAGGTTTCGTCAAGAGGCCGAGTGTTTTGGGTTTGCCGAAGCCTCCGGCGCACTGTACCCTCAGCGTTTTCTTCCCACCGGCAGGGCTGTGTGCTTCAAGGCCAAGTTGTTTCACATGGCTCAGGTGCCTTCGCACCGAGCTCGCCGAGACCATCCTTGGACAAGCTCCTTGCTGCTGAGTGAGCGCTCCCTGTGGACTGCGCCTCGCTTTGAACTCAGATGCCTGTTTATTTTTGGACTGGAAACGAGAAACTTAGAATTCCCCAGGCCGCAGGCTCGGAGCCCTCTGTGCGGTGATAACCTGTGGAACCGGGAGAACGACAGACTGGGGGAATGCCCCTGAGGGGAACGACACAGATCATTTCATCCACGGGGCTCCTGTGAAAGAGGGGCAAACCTGAGTTCAAAGCGAAGGGAGGGACTGGCTCAAGGTCACGCAGTGTTTTCTCCCGGTGCCATTCTCAAGAATAGTAGCAAACAAAGCAGTGCAATGTGACTAAAAACCTTTAATTACTTACAGCCTTGAGTCACCTGTGACTTTGAGAATGTCCAAGGCTCTGTGCAGACCCGCACAAAATCTCCATTGTCAAGTCCAGAGTTGAGTCCAAGCCCATGCATTTGGAAGCAAAGTGAGGACCACAAGGGTTGACACTGACTGTCCAAGGGAGTCGGAGAAGGGTCTCGTGGCCCCCGGAGATGAGCCTTGGGACGCCCTGTGTCAGACACCTTGTCTGCCCTATCTGCAGTGCTCAGCCGCCTTCTCCCGGGAGCGTGGTTCGCGGGTGGCTTTTCCGGGCAGGGACAAAAAAAGATCTCATTTCTATATCCTCCTCATGCTGAGAGGTGCCATGGTATGTGGGAAGATGGACTTTGGCCTGGGATAGCTTGGGTTTGAAACCTGCTTCTTTGATCTTGGCCAGCTTACCATCCCTGAGACTTGGTCTCCTCAAGTCAAAAACAATCATGTCAATAATTCCCATCTAGGTTAGTTGTATTGCATGGTGTGATGTGCGTCTGAATGTCGTCGGCCTGGGCCAAAGTCAGTCGCTGCTTCCTTAGGTTAGTATTACTGAAATTAATACTAACGGAGGGTTTCTGAGCTTTGGCACTAATGGGCATCTTTGCTGTGGGGGTTGTCCTGTGTTCCGCGGGGTGGTCCGCAGCATCCTCGGCTTCTACCTGTTAGAGGCCAGGAGGACATACCCCCAGACTGTGACAATGAAAACTGTCTCCAGATGTTACCAAGTGGCCTCTGAACATTTGCTTTTACCCCAGAACCTTGTGTTCAGTTTTTTGGAGACAGAATAACAAATTGGCAAGTAACGAGAAGGCAGGGGCAGAGTGGGCAAAGGGGCATGAAGACATTCCATCGGGGAAATTTCGAAGGAGGTGAGGGCGGTCATCTCACAGCTGAGGAGGTGCAGCCGAACAAGAGGCCTGACTATAGACACCTGCCGCTTTAAAAGGGTGCGGTCGTGATTTGCACAGGCCCACGGGAGATACACTTTATAGCACAAATTGGCTGCCTCTTATGGCGGGTGGTCTTTGTGTCCCTGGAAGATGTCAGGTGAGGACTCTAGCAGAGTCTCTGCACAACAGTAACGACAACAGCTGCAGCCCACCTTTGTTAGGTACCACAATGTGCTGCTTGCACTTTCCATCAGTGGATTCATTTAGCCCTCCCCACAACCCTTTCAGGTGGGCACTATCATTACTCCCACTTTACAGATGAGAAAATTGAGACACAGAGGCCTCAACTGAGTTACATCACTCGAGGTTGCACCAGGCAATGTGGCTGCCAAGTCTGAGCTCCTACAGCCTGTGAAGAGAATTTGAACAAGAAGAGCTCTAAGATTTTTCCGGGTCCTGAGACTCTGAGCTTTTAGGGAGTTCCCTGCTGGAACCATCCTCAAGTAATTTGCTTCTGGTGGCCTTTAGGTCACGCTCCACCTAAGACCAAGGAGACAAGACACTGCTGACTCACTCTTCCCCAGCTGTGCAGGCTGGGAACAGAGCCAGGCCACTCGTCCAGCCCTTGTGGCAGGTGCCGGCTGCTGCGGTTTGGCAGCCGGTCAGCAGCTGGGATGCGGCCTCAAGGGCTGGCTGGTGGGGATGGCAGTGTGTCCACAGCAGTCCAGGTTCTGGGACCCTTCAGAGACGGGTGGCTCGAGGGGTAGGAAAGAAACGCAATCCAGCATGCAACGAGACAGAAGCATGGAGTGGAAAGGCTCTCCACAGACTTTGCTCAGCCCGAGGGCTGTGTGCGGCTGATTCTGGTCCACTTTGGTGACTCTCCTTTGGGGCTCCTCGGGGGCTGCTGGCAAGTCTCTGCGGCATCATTCATTCCATCAACATTTACTGAACACTTCAGTGCCGAGGCAAAGAGGTTCATTCTCTGCCGGGGGCGTGTCCCTAGCCCAGGGCTCCTGGTTCCGGGAAGCCTTCTCCACCTCTCTCCATGGCCTCCGGTGCAGGTACTTTGTAAACCCTCCTCTGACAGACACAATCCTGCTTTATTACCCCAGGACACATGTCTGAGTGGGCTCCCTCCACTAGAGGGGATCCCCTGAAACCCAGTCATGCTGATATTGGTTTCTGTACATCCACTTGCTATTTGTTGTGTAGCAGGTGCTCAGTTGGGAAATGAATGAATGAATGAAGGAAGGAAGGAAGGAATAAAACTGGACTGCGTTCACCTCAACCTTTTTAACAAATGCAGAAAGAAAGCAGTGCATGGACCCTGCCTCTCAGGATGAGGGGTTTCTCTGTAACACGCGTAAATATACCACTCCACCAGGGAGAACTGCCAGCTGGCTGTCGCCTTTGGTTTTTGGCGAAGAAGCTAAGTCAGCTGTCCCAAGGGCCCAAGTTTTCTCCCTTACAAAGTCACTTTCTCATTGTGCCAGGGGGACATAGCCACTGTCTGCCTGTTTGGGTGGCCTGGCCATGCGGCCACGTTCCAGGCGCCTTCTCTCTGACTGCATGTTGTCATTCCCAAAATGATTTCCATCTTCTCCATCCAGGTCAGCAGCCTCTGCAGGTGTGGTCTCCTTGTGAGACAGGCATTTCAATCACCTCCACTGTGCAGAGGGGAAATGGTCCTGGTCAGGAGAATACAGACAAGAGTGGGGCTGGGTCTCAGGGCTCCAGACCAGCCTGGTTACAGCCCTTGAAGTCGGCCTTGACTTGGTGCAGTCAAGGGCTCCAAAACCCTGAAGGTCTTTCTTTATCTTTTCCATCCAGCTACGGCCCAGATTTGCTTCTTCCTTTTCAAATGTCTTTTAAAAAGCACTTAAAACTCAGAAAGCTCCTGAGGTTCCTGACGCAAGTTTATTATATTTTCCCCCCATTCTCTCCTACCTGGACGACTTGGGACAACTTGAAGTCTCTCGTTACGTGAAGCTGCAATGGGACGGATTTGGTACAAATGGGGCTCACTGGTGGAGTAAAAGCCCTAGGAGGGCTGGCTTCCGATTTCCCTCAGACCTTGTGTGCATCTCCTAAGGAGGGTTTTGAAGAGGGTATGGAAGTCTCCTCTCTTTCGGAGTAGGACACTTGGAAGAGAGAAAGTGGGCAAACTCTTGGCACCAGAGAAACCAGCCAGCCAAACCCTGTTGCTCCTACTCACTGAGGAGGAATTCCGTGTGAGTTCATGGTTCCCAAGCTTGTCTGATGATAAAGCCTGCCCCATCAGAACCTTTTGGGGGCAGGGAACTGACAAGTCTACATTTTAACATAAGAGCCCTCCTCTCTCCTCCCTCAATTTTTATCACCAAGTAAGACCCAGAGGGAAAAAAGAACTTGAATTGGAGACTGAATTCACAGCTCCTTCATCTTGGACTTGAGAGATCCTTAAGAAATCTATGCTAATGATTTGATAAGATTCAAAGGTCAAGAACCCAGTGATTGCAAGAGAAGGCTTCAAAAAATGCTAAAGATTTCCACTCTTAATTTTAACATTGTTTATGATGTTACAAACACTTTATAGCACTTACTATGAGCCAGACACTATGCTTTACAAATATTTGCTCATTTAACTTTCACAAAACTGGGCAGAGGCCCAGTGAGGTTAACTCACTTGCCCAAGGTCACACAGTTAGAAGTGGAGCAGTCGGGGCAGACTCAGGCTGTCTGGCTCCAGAGCGTTTGATCTAAACCACTAAGCTATATGTGTTTAAAAAAAATCTTTTTTTCATTTGGCCACAGAGCAAATGCTCTCTTCATAATCATTGTAAAGTAAATGATACATCTGCATGGTTTCAAGTGCTTCGCCGGTGGGGTCCAAGTTATCAGTGCTGTGATTGTATGTGGAGCCCAATCTGACTTTTCCATTTGATAGAAAAACATGCCTATTGTTATGGCAATCCCAAACGCTGTGTGAAAGCTTTAAAGAACAGACTCCAGTCCCTTTGTTTCTCACCCCAAATGTTGAAATGAACCTAAGAGCTCTGCCGATTCCTGACAGTTTTAAGTCTCCCTGTTTCAAATATTTCAGACAGCTTGGGAGCAAACAGATGATATTCGGCTTCTTTCTCTTGCATAGTTTATTTTTAAAGCATGCATCTGGCTGCTTTTTTGTTCCCCCCAAGTCGGGGGGAGTGGATCCCCAGAAGGCGGGTGCTGGACGGAAAATTTCTCCTTGAAGGCAGCTCCATCATTTGGGTCTTGTCTCCTAGTGCGTCTTGCCCTTAACTTCAATCTCAGAGTTTGAAGGAACCTCTGACCAGCTGGGTCTCCTGCACATGCACAGGAAAGATGTTGGTTATTCACATGTGTTCACCCTCCCCATGGGGCAGTCTGACTGTGACAGGCCAGGTCAAATAGAGGACCTTTTTCTGGTCCAGAGAGCCTGTGGTCACAATGCTACCAGCATTGCCGAGCATTTGCTGTGTGTCAGACCACAGGCTAACCATGATGAAATGATGCTGTGAAGCAGCCACTATTATTACCCATTTTCAACATTGGAGACTGAGTCTCAGGGATCCAAGTATTCTCCATGCCCAAGGTCATGCCACTCGTGAGAGCAGAGATTGGAGACTGGGTTTGACACCAACGTCTCTGCTCACTGCACTCCTCCACCAAGTGAGGATTCATCCTGACTCTCATGCCTAATTCAGCACCCTGCATAGTCTCTGTAAAGCAAGAGAGTGGCAAATCCATGAAGACAAAGCAGCTGGGAGAGACCGTGTTTGGTTTTAGAACTTATGCCTTCATTATAGGTGTGGCTTCATGGTTTGTTTTTTTTTTAGGAGCCTGAAAGAAGTGAAAAAGCTCAAGATGTATAATTCAAATAGTCTTTTGGGATTATACGTATGTACTCTTTCTGTAATGGCTTTAATCGAAGAAGACATGTGACCCAAAACAGGTGGTTGGTGTAACCCAGGGGATTTTTAGTGATACTACATCACAGACTGGCTGTCACCATTTCCTCTTCTCTCTAGGCACAAAGCTAGACATTTCCTGACTCCCTTGCAGCTAGGCAGTGCCACAGGATAGAGCTGTAACCAGTGGAGTGCTTTTTCTAGCTGTGGTCATTAATACAAAGCAAAATGAAATAAAAGTTCTGTATACACTTTCATACTTTTCCCTTAAGCTGATTCTAAAGGCTCAGTGTTGACAGTGAGTTCAAATTGGAAGGAGCTCACGTTCCTGAGTCACTCTCTGGAGAAGAGATGTGTACTCATCAAGATCTTGAAGATAGAGACAGTGTCTTGATCATCTCTGTACCCCAGGGCTCGCACAATGCCTGGTACAGAGTGGGTTAAGTGTTTAGTGGGTGGTGAACGAACTGTATAGGGATCATAGAAAGGATCATCACATCTGCATTATATGTTATTCTTACAACTATGTAAGAGCAACACCACCATGCTTTTGTATAGCCCAGGCAACCAAGACTTAGAAAATAAAGTGAGTTGAATAGTTAATAAATTCTGGACCTGTACTCCTGAGCATGGACTGTGGCTGAGAGGTCAAAGCTGGTATGAAGTTTAATCTGTGACTGACAACAAGGCAGGACGGGGCTTTGGGCCTGGGATTCAGCCATAAATTAATCAATAGGGTTAGTGGCCCTACAAGAGTGGCACCCAAGCTCTAGTCCTTTGAAAACCACTAAGCACCTCAGACTCACCTAGAGGTTTAAAAAGTAGTTATTAGACCCCTGGAGATTCTCTTTTACAATGTCTAGAGTGAGCCTCTAGAAACTACATTTCTAAAAAGTCCCCCAAAGAATTCTATATGCAGCCAGATCAGCATCCAAACTGTGGAAAGAAAAGGAGTGTCCTTAGTAACCAGATGAAGCTTCACGCCCCAGCTCTGCCAGCTCTTAGGGGTAGAACCTTTGCCATGTGACGACCATGCTGAGCCTCAGTTTCTGCATCTACAAATTGGGGGTCACAACTCCATCCTCACTGGGTAGGTGAGAGCATTAGGTGACATGGTACATGGCAAAGTCCCTGGGAGCAGGGGGCCTGTCCCCTCTGGGGGTCTCTGGGGCCCATCCAGAACATTCCAACCCTGGGGCATTCTGGCATCATGAGTCTCCTTCTTCTGGAGCTCTCTAATCAGGTTCAACCTTCTTACCTATAAAATGGGAATAATAATACATAAACTAAGCATCACCCTGCCCCTGGGTATCTTTAACACATTCAGCCTACTGGGGTCCCTGTTTTCTAAGATTCTGCTGATGCCAGCTGTAGACTGTTTGTAGCTGTGCTTCTGTCAGACAGAGAAAGCTCCTTTCTATTTGTAGTTTGCTAGAAAGGACAGAGATATACATCCCAACGGTCTTTATCTTTTCACCTGTTGATAGATGTTTAGGTTGTTCGTATCTCTCGGCTACTGTGAATAATAGTACAATAAGCATGGGGTGCAGATATCTCTTTGAGATCCTGATTTTATGTCCTTTGGCTATATATCCAAGAGTAGGATTCTTGGATCATAGGGTAGTTCTAGTTTTAATTTTTGAGGAACCTCCACACTGTTTTCCATAATGTCCTCACCAATCTTCTTTTCTTGGAAAACTCCCACCCGTGGGGCTCTCCCAGATCACCTGGGAGAGTCTCAGGGGTTTTCAGTTTTCTCTGTTTCCAAACCATTTCCGTGTGCAACATCTCTCTAAAGGTGCCCATCCCTCAAGGGGGCATAGCTGAGTCTCCAGGGGGTGACCGAACAGCCTAGAACTTTACCATCTGAAAAATGACCCCTATCCTAAAGGGCAGGCCTCCCTCTCTGTGCCGAGAGAGACCCTCTGATTTAGTTCAGGAACGCTCATTTTCTAGACAGTGAAATGCAGGTCTAGAGTGGGAAAGAGGCTGGCCAACGGCTCACAACTGAGGCCACAGCTACGGATTTGGCATCCTGATTTGTTGGCTCTTTAAGAATAAAATAACCATGATTAACATTTATTGAGCACTTAGTCTAGTCGATGACATTCTGCTAATTCTATTACATGGACAAATTCATTTATTTTTCACAATGACCATCAGACCATGGTGTGCTGCAAGAAGTTTTCAAACATGCAGTCCCTGACCCAATAGTCAGGGACAATGACCTCTTTTTTCTTAGGTTATCAGATAAAAAATGACAACAGCCAACACAACAATAGCTGTGGGGTGTGAATGCCCAGCCTGGAACCATAAATACACAGGTCATATAATAGAGCTGCATTTTATTGGTCACATTGCATAATGAGGTTGCATCTGATTGGTTAATTCTTGGCACCAGAAATCCTCTTATACAAGTATAGGCACTTGATTTTTTTAAAAAGTCAATTTGGAGCAAAAAAGAGTAGGCAATTCCTATTATTTTTATAAATTGATCAAAATTATACCTAATTTTATGGCAGATTGGCAAAAATATATACTTTTGGTGTGCTGCAGAATTTCAATAATTGGTTTACCTGTGCCCTGAGATGAACGAGGTTGAAAACCACTGCCATAGGAGATAAATAATACTGCCATAGAGCTCAATTCACAGATGGGGAAACTGAGGCACGGGGAGGTTTAGGGACTTGTTGAAGCTCATGCAGCTAGGGCGTGGGGAAGCTGGGAAGCTGGTCTGGGTGTCCTGAGCAAGGGGCCTGTGTGCCCGCCCACGTGGCTTGTCTGGCTCTCCCACAATTTCTCAGCATCAGGATCCCTCTACAGCTTGATGAGCGAACTCTGGTCTGTCATTTTCCTTTTAGGGGCCCCTTCTCAGACAGCAGGGTTCCTCAGTGTTAGTGACTTTGGCCAGGGTGTCTCAGTGCTTGCGCAGAGCAGTCCCGAGGTGCCAAGCCCCCTGCCTGTGTCCTGTCCACCGAGGAAGGGCCCTGCCTGGGCCTGGCCTCTGATCCTGCTGACCTGGCCACCTTCCAAAGCCCACATCCTCTGAAGGTCTCAACACCAGGAACCCTTCCCAGCTCAGGCAGCACCCGGCTGAGGGGTAACCCGGGGCATGAGTGACAATGCCTCTAAAATTACCCCAGCTGAAGGCGGTGCCGCACCCTCCACCCTTCCTGCATTCCTCCCCGAGGCTGGCCCAGCGGCCTGCCCAGAGAGAGGCCTCCCTGGATCTGGGCGGTTTTTGCTGAGGCCTGTGCTCCCAGCCACTGGGCTGCCCCTAGGCTGGAGTGCCCAGTGGGCTCCCTGGAAATACAGCCAATGTGGAGCAGGCTTGCCATGGGGGTTGGGGGCTCCACCCCAGGGTCTTCTTGCGAGCTGTGGAGAGCCTCTGTTTCCTCTCCTGGGATCACATTTACTTAGCTAATTCCTATTTATTTCATAGGAGTTCTTTGCGTAGATGCCCCTTCCTCCAGGAAGCCTTTCTGGCATACTTCCTGCACCCATCTGGGTTGCATGCCTTTTCCCAACCAAAACTCACTCCCCACCCCAGGATTTTTCTTACCAGTCAGTGTCTGCTTGTCCATGAGTCTGTCTCCTTGAGAACAGGACTGTGGTGTTCCAAATCCCCAGCACAATGCCTGACACACAAGCAATGCTTGCCAATACTCATCCAATGAGCTAATGAAAGCAAAGGCAAGGACAAAGATTGACTAGGGCAGCTGTCTTCATCGTCTACTTTTCCGATACCCATAGACATAAATGAAACATTCCGCTGTTCAGGTGTTAGTGAAGGAACATGTAACCTTGTTTTAGGACTTGCAAACCCACACCTGTTTCTGCTGATGTCTAAATTTCTTTCCAGGTGGGATACTCCAGATGACACTGCGGAAGCCACTGCCAGCAGCCCACTGAGAGGTCTTTATCCCTGTTATACTAAGAAGGGTATAGAGGTTCAGAGAGGTTCTGTAACCTTCTCAAGACACACAGGCAAGAATCAGATTTGGGGCCATCTCACTGTTCAGGAGGCCTGTGTGGGTCTCGCCTTCCCTGGGCTTTCGTGCAGGCTGGAAGACACACAGGTACCGAGACAATGACACGTGGTTGGGAAAAGTATGGGGACAGAGGGAAGGGGGAAGTGCCGTGGGAGTCTGAGGGAGGAGGGAACTGGTCACAGGAGAGTTTGCCAAGAGGACCTGGTGGGAGGTGATGGAAAATGCATGCGAGAGGCCAGGAACACAGGCTTCTCAGGGAGCCCAGATGCCGTCCCTGCCTCGTGGGCGGCTGTGGACTTGGGACAGAGGTCTGGAAGAGTCAGCGTTGGCCTAGCCAGTCTCTAAAGGGAGGTCCGTGTCGGTCCATGGAGCTGGCAGCTTTGCCAGCCTCCCCTGTTCGCCCAACAGTGGTCACACGGTCAACTCCTTTGACTTCCTTTATCATCAAACAAGCCAAACTTCCTGAACGTGGGGATTTCTGGAAGCATGAAAGTTTTGCCGAGACCCAGCAGACAGCCCTCTGGTTTGGTCTTCAGGTGTGTGCGGCTCGGCCACCTTGCTGCCCCTGGGCTGTGTCTGTCCTTCCTCCTGTCCTTCCCTCTGTCCTGGCCACCTTGTCAGGTCTGGGCAGGAGCCCCGCTGGCCTGCCGCAGGGTCTCTCCAGGGAAGTGATGGATGTGCCCCGGGATTAGCTGACTTTCCCTGGCCCTGGTGGTGCCAGGAGTGAGCGCATTCCTGAATGGCCTGTGCTGATGGATGCCTGGGGGGTGGAGGAGGTTTGGGGGGAGAAGAGGCTCCAGTTCTGGAGGGATTCCTAACATTCCCAGGGATGCCCCCCACCCCCAGTGTCTGGAGCTCTGACTGACGGACAGCTGAGAGAGCCGGCCCAGAGCAGGTGGGGGTGGCCGGCAGGGTGCCTTGATCTGCACCTCCCTCCCCCAGTGCCCTGGAATGTTTGGTATCTCTCTTCCAATCACTCACAGGCCAGGGGAGAATGAGGAGGTGGCACCTGTGCTGTGGGCTCCTGAGATGTGGCGTTGGCCCTTTCCGGTTCAGGGGGAGGAGTAGTGGCTGGGAGCAGCTGGGGGTGGGGGGCGAAGAAGGATTACGGCCTAACGAGGCTGGAAAGGGGGTGCTGGATCTCCCTGAATCCCACCCATACACAGTGGCGGTGAGACCCGAGTGGGGAGCGTGGCCAACCTCTGAGCTTCTAGATGTAGAGGATCTTTCGGCCTCCCTTCCTCCACCCCTTTCATTTGGTGGCAGAAGGGTCTTAGGCTCTAGGACACTTAGCAGACTGAACACTCAACTTTTTGTTTCAGGTGCCAAAGGTTCTTTCTTTCGCAGATATCTCTCGCCCTTGGCCTCAGTTTCCCCAGCTCTAGAAACGAGAGGGTTGAATGCAGCCGCTCTGACATCCTGGGACCTCTAAGAGCCATGGTTCTGGACCACGCACGAGAGGGGAGAGGCGAGCGGTCTCGCTCTTGTTCTCCAGGAAGGCCTTTGGAAATCAGTGGAGGGAGGGGGCCCTTGGAAATCTACTGCACTGGCACCTGAGCTCCTGAAGCCTCGTGGCAGAGAGGACAGTCTCACACAGACGCATGAGGAGAAGAACCATTCCTTGTGATGACACACCGATCCACTTAAAATTGGCCTGGACACGTAAGTTGCTTCTCAAATCTCAGCATCCTTAAGAAAGCTGCTGAGATCCACTCATGATATACACAAACCCCCTGGAAGTATTCTTCATCCTTCAGAGGCATCAGAGAGCCCGGGGTGGGCTGGCTCTAGTTTTCTTCAACCAGGAAGCTGGAGACAGTCTCCTGGGGAAAGAGACCCTTGCATAGGAGCTGGAAAAGAAATGGCGGTTCTCGGCGCTGTCTCTCGCCAGAGCTTCCTGAAACCGTCCAAAGTGGCAGAACGTTGGGGTGGGTGATAACATTCTCCCCATTACCTCATCTCCTTTGTGGTCCTCTTTTTTTCTGGTCGAATCAAACAAAAACAAAACCTTTGCCAACGTTATCCTCAGGGGCTGGTCTATAATAAGATGAGCAATTGGGAGGAAATCCAAAATTAGCCCTGTATTAATCAGGTCCTGTCGCCAGCACGGATGACTCAGTTGCCAATCGCACCAGTCCTGAGTCCGCCCTGACGCGGAGCTCTCACAGGCGGCTCAGCCAAGCCCACGAAGCACGGCTCTGGGCACTGGGTGGTGGTCGGCACGGGCGGAGAGTGCGCAGGATCTGGGGTCAGGCAGCCTGCGTTTAAATCGTGGCTCTGGCCCTCACAAGCCTCAAGTCCAAGGGCAAACTTCTTAACCTCTTTGAGCCTCAGTTTCTTTCCATGAAAAGAAGGGCTGAAAGCACTGTTGTGAGAGGGTTGTTGTAACCAATCAGTGAGACAATGTATGTAACAATAGACCCAGCATCGTTCCTGGTGCAACGGTTCCTTTGAAATCTCGTTTTCCTCCCCAGCACCAGGCTGTGGCTTGCTGTGCCACTCGGGGCAGTGGATAGGGCCACCCTGGTCTCGCCCTGAGCATCTCGGCTCCTCTCCTTCTTGTGCGTGTCCAGGACCAGCCCAGCACGCTCGCTGCCCCTGTCCTGTCCCTGCCTTGCCTGCATGGCACTTTGCACTGTGTAGCATGTGATCAGCACCCCGCTCATTCGAGGGTAGGATGTAGGAACCTGCCAACTCCAGAGCACAGGCCCCACCCTGGGAGGAAGCAGAAAAGGCGCCTGGGGAATGAGGAAAATCCTGTCCATGAGGTGCCTGCATCCGTCCATGTAGCAGGTAATGCCACCTTCCGGCTTCGTGGTCAGAGGTTGGGGGCATCGAATTCCGTGTGAAGTAACAATTACTGACGTCATCCTGTTGAGCGGTTTATTCTGAAAAACCTAATTTCTCCTTCTTGTGAGTGGGCATAGTGGTTTAGAATCAACAGGAGACAGGTCGAGAGGTGGAACAGAGGAACAGTCGCTGGGGACTGAAAACCCAAGTAGCCCTGGGAAAGCAGACTGGGGCCGGTGCACAGGTCAACGGGCGCAGGTCAACAGTGCGCTGTTTAAGAGCAAGTCGACGCCATGAGGGTGGTTTGCAGTTGCCAGCATCGCATGCACAGTATGGAAGAAGTCAAAATGCCCACAACCTACTTGATGCCAGCAACACACATGGCTGAAAACATAAAAGCTACCGCTTTCAATGGAAAGTGCCAATAATGGGGAAGATCGGCTTTTGTGGAACAATTCACATGCCTCACTGGCAGAGGGCAGGGTGTGGCTGTAGGAGAGGCTTCCCCTGTAGCTTCGACGAGGAGGGACTGTGTTTGGGGGGTCAGGGGACCAAAGGGGCACAGGAGAGACCGCCACACCTCCCACCCAGTGTTGCGGTGAACCTAACAATGCTGTGAAAACTACAGTCTTTAACAAAATTATTTTAAAAATTAGGGTGGCATGGGTGAAGAACAGGCTGGTTTTGCATGTTCCCATTTCTAACTCGGGCGAGCTGAAGATCACTTTGACCTCTGACAGGTGCAGAACGTTCCTCTTACTCAGCCTCCATTGCCTCGCCTGTACAATGGGGACACGCCACCACCTGGGTCTCGGGGCGGCAGTGATGGGGACACCAGTCCGTCACCACAGGTCATGATGACAAAGTTTTGGGCCGAGTGCCCGGACCAGGGAAGAACTCAGTGCCATTGAAGTTCTCATTAGCAATATCATGCTTCAGATCGGAAGGAAAAAGCATCAATTTTGAGTACCCATGACTGCCTTTTGGACAGCACCCAGGAACCGGAGCTTGATTTAGGCCAGAAATGACGGTCCTTTTGAGTCGATAAAGTTGCACTCTCGGGAGGAGTCGGCTGCCGCCTGTCACCCAGTTCACTTGCGGTGACACTCCCTTTTCTGTCCCTTCCCAGCCAGGCCGCCTTCCGCTCCCTATGCCCTGAAGCTCTGTGAGCCTCTGACAGCTGGGAGGGAGAAGAAGGACGGTCCCCTGAGCCTGGGAGTTTTAAATCGGGCAGGAGTTGATGGGTCCCTCAAACAAGGCCTGTCATCCGCAGTGACACTTAAGGTGCTGTGTGGCAGCCCCTCTGGGCCTCTTCAGCCATCCACAGGGAGGCTGGCAACCCTGCAGGCTGCAGACGAGGTGCTGAGCTCTGGGAGGCAGGGACCCGTCTTCTTCCTCTGCGCGCCCACAGGTGGGCGCAGGGTGTGGGGAGAGGCGAGGACAAGGAGGCGGGCAGACCTGGCTTCCGGAAGCCCGTGGCTCCATGGAAAGACCGTGTCAGCGTCCCAGTGCTGCTGAGTGCCTCCCACGGGACACCTCGTTGGAAAGGACTCCGGGAGCTGCCCGCTGCAGACGTTGAGTCTGAGGAGGGAAAGGCCCATTGGGATGCTGGGTGCCGCACCATCAGACGGCGCCACCATCAGCTTCCCTGTCCTCTCACCGGGGCAGGGTCTTCAGTTCTAGCTCAAGTCCATGTGCTCTGTCCTCCAGTCCCAGTCGGGCCAGTTTCTTCCCCCGTGGGCCCCCATAGAGGCTGTGCTGGGAGAACTTCCATTTTCTCTTGGTTGGTCAGTGCCAGGGACCTGCAGCCAGGAGTGGGGCGTGCCGGGCCAGGGTCACGGGGACTGTGAGTGGGTGGTGTGCACAGGGTTGACCCCGGGTCTCCGGGCTCCCAGACCAGCCTCCACCACCCGGGTTGGCACTCACCGCCACATGGTCTTTCCATCCCTCCATCGCTCAGCACCACAGCACATTAACTGAAACATTTTATCTCCTGATAGGCGGTGGAGGGAGTGTCTACAGGGCCCCTTCCAAAAATAATATTTTTACTTTCCAGCAGCAAAATACACAGTATCCATTCTTGTCATTTTTGAATCTCTGGCAACAACCCAATGCATTCTTGTCGAGAACAATATAACAATCTGACTTCTGTTTTGGCCCCTGAGTTCTTTTGTCCCTCCCCACCAAGTGTGAAATGTGCACTTCCTGACCATCCGACCGCAGGTCCAGACAATGGAGAAACAAAGACGAGCCACGCCAGCAGCAGGTGAGGCCACCGGCACAGCGATCCCAGCCCCTTCGAAAGCCTCTGTCTGGGTCACGAGGAAGACCAAAAATAAGTAGCTGTGGACAACGGCCTAATTCCGAGGGGTCGGCAACATTGTCCGGTTGGGGTTTGCAGTCAAGGACGGTTTGATAGCAAAATGGCCCCTAACCGGCCCCCAGGTACCTCCCTTCCCCTGATTCATTACATCGCCTGACACAAAACCCTTTCATTTGAATCAGCTGAAGTCTGCTCTCTTCTTTGAAGACTTCCCTGACTCTTGATTCAACAAACATTTGCTGCATTCTACAATGTGCCTGCCTTTTCCAAGTAGTGGTATCATGTCCTGAGTATAAGCTAATATTCCCTCCTTTGTGCTACTTCTTTATTTATGTCTCTTCATTTTACATATAAGGAGACAGGTCTGGAGAGGGGAGGTGACTTAAGCCATAATAATGTGACAAATAAGAGCATGGAAGTGCTAAGAGGCGATACCACTGCTCAAAGTTCCATAGGTGCCCTGGGCTGTCTGTATACACAGCCAGCTGGTCAACCCCCATCCCTGTGTGGTGACGGGGGGAGGGGGATCCTAAGGCCTCAAGAGCAGGAGGACATGGTGGCCGTGACTTATCCCACCCCATACTCCTGGGGTACACTCTCATGGGGCAAGACAAGCAAGGGCAGGGGGCCGGGGGAGTGTAACTCCCAGCTTCCTCCCTTCTCCCGGCAGTGGGCGTGATGGATGGCCTCTGAGCGACCGGTGCCATGTGGGGTGTGATATCCCCTTTTGTGAACGACGGGTTGCCAGCTGCAGTAACACACATTTTCTCTACCAGCCCCATCCCACTGTACCTCTCCATGTTTTCGCTGCAACCCCTGCCTCCCCCTGCTCGGCCTGTAATGGCTAATTCAGCTCGGTATCAGCAAGCGCTGCTGTTTCTTGAATGCTTACTCTGTGCCAGGCGCTGCTGTCGGGACTCTGGCCAGATCCGCTGACATCTCTGTAACATCTCAGGAAGGTAGCTATTATCTGTCCCCGTTTTGCAGAGGAGAAGTTACATTTGGCCGGGCTCACTTGCCGGTGCCTGGTGTGCACAGAACCCCCACAGACGCCGGATCCCGCCCTCCCAGAGGCTGGAACGGAGGCTGAGTCCAGTGGAAGGTATGGGGCCCCCACACAACCCAGGCACGTAGCTTCACCTTTCCTGGGCTCCACTTACATGTTTGCAAAGTGAAGATACTAATAACACACTTCACAAAGCCACTGAGTGGGAACATCGAAAGAACTCATAGCATGGACAGACCTGGTCACTGAAGCACAAGACGTTAGCCTTACTTTACAATGAAGTAATGACATGATCACAGAAGGAGACCGTTGGTGCGCTCTCCATGGAAACCAGTGCTTTTCTGTTTGTCCCGACGGCTCAGCACTTTGAGTTGCTCCCTCCCCGAGCAGCCTTCCCTCCAAGTTTCTGTGCGAAGAGCTTTAATTCTGGCTCCAATTATGGAGCCTCGGTTTTCCCTCCCGTCAACGAGATGTAACCAATCCACAGATACCATCGGAGTGAAAGTGTCAGTGCTCTGAAAGTCGCCAGGTGCAGGAGAGAGAGGAGTGAGTATTTGTCCGGATGATCCAGGCATCAGGCTCGCTGGAGCACACAGCCAACAACTTGCAAAGATGTTTTGGTTTACTGCTTGCAGCCAGCAACTTGCAAAGGTGTTTTGGTTTACTGCTTGCAAGTCCACTCCTAGGCATGTGCCCGAAAGGACTGAAAGCTCCAAACGAGCACCTCTGCACGGACGTTCCCGGCAGCACTACGCACAACAGCCCAAAGGTGGAAACAACCCGGATGTCCATCCGTGGGGGTCGGGATAGGCAAACTGAGGCCTTTTCCGTACGATGGAGTTACTCTTTGGTCACAAAAAGGAATGAGTTACTGATACGGGCCACAACTTGGATGAACCTCAAAAACATGATGCTCGGTAGGAGGAGCCAAACACAAATGGTCATGTGTTGTAAGCTACCATTTATACGAGATGTTTAGGATAGACGGTAAACCCATAAAGGCAGACTGGTGGCTGCTGAGGGCTGGTGGGGGTGATGGGGTACGGGAATGACTGCTTCGTGGGTATGGGGCTTTATTTTGGTGACCAAAATGCTTTGGAACTAGACTGAGGTGGTGTGTATATAACATCATGGCTGTGCTAAATGCCACTGAATTGTTCACTTTCAAATGATTAATGTCAGGATGTCAGCTGAGGGCTCCCAGTGGCCTGTGAAGTCCTTCGCTGACCCGCTTCTGCGGCCACTCTGAGTTTACCTCCTACAGCTCTTCCCCGAGTTCACTCTGCCCCAGCTACTCAGCCTTCTTGCTGCCCTGAAAGTACAAGTGCATTCCAGCCTCAGGGCCTTTGCACTTGCTGTTCCTCTGCCTTGAACCCTATTTCCTGCATATATCTGCCTGGCCTGCTCCTGAAGGTTGGCCTCTGCTCAAATGCACCTTTTATTTGAGAGGAAGCCTCTTTAAACACAGGCCATGTTGGGGGGTGTTCGGGATGCCTTTACCCTTTGGGATCTTGGCTTCCTCTCTTGCACAGCAAGAGCTCAAGCTGGACAGTGTCCAGGAACCCTTTCCTGCCCTTGACTCGGCCTCTTTCAAGGCCTGATGTCACCCTCCTCTGGCAGAGTTCACTTTCTGGAGAGGAAGGAAAAGAAATGTGAATTGTTTGTCATTCAAGAGAAAGTTAGACCACTCACTTCTTTGTGAAAATGTCTTGGTCAACTTCCTCAGCCTGTTCCTTGGTCTAGCACCAAAATAGACCCTTAGTTATCAATAGGCAGCAGCCATTTCCTCCCCTGTAAAGTCTTTCTTTTCTTTTTTCTCTTCTCTTCTTTGCTTGCTTTCTTTCTCTCTCTCTTTCTCTCTCACTTCTTCCTCCTCTCTTCCTCTCCCTCCTTCTCCTTCTTCTTCACAAACATTTATATGGAATAACGAAACTTCAAAATAAGTAACAAGTTTGTAATGCCTCAAAAACAATTAGAGAACTAAACTCCCCCTGGCCTGGGGGAGAAGGAAGAGAGGTCGTGTTTCCAGGTGAGGGTTCATGTAGGTCTCAGGGGAAGGCCTTGGTCCAGGGGTGGGACCTGGTACAAGTGCTGGCTTTGGCAAGTCCATTCCCACGCCAAGCTTTTCTCATCTCTTCAGTGGAGGTGATGACTCTTGTCTTCTTCCCCTTCTAGGATGCCCTGAGCTCATTCCGTGCCCTGGGTGGGGGTTGGGGACTTGGACATGGCTGAGATACAGCTCCTGGACTCAGACACTGGCCTTTTCAAAGAACCTGGGATCGGCATTCACTGCAGGGGGAGAAGGAAGGTTTGGGGAAGAGTCTGGGTAGAGTCTGGGGAAATGAAGAGGGGAAAAAATGGTTGGTGGATAGACAAAAACAAAGCATGTGATCTGGGCACGAGGAGGAGACAGTGTTGGGAAGTCATGTCAAGCGAGCACGGCCTTGGTGGGGAGGTGCGGGGAGGGCAATCGCCGCAGCCAAGGTGAGAGCCGGGCAGTCAGAGAAGGATGCTGCCACCTTCGTGGCCACGGTCCATCCTTTAAATCCTCACCATGGAAAAGGGATTCCTCATGTGATATGCTCATGCCTGAGGCTGTCACATCATGATCTCATTTACTCTTCCCTTTACTGGCACGTGTGGGAATTATAATTTTCATTTTTACCAAGGTGGTAAAGGAGGCTCCAAGATTAAAAACTAGCCCAAGTGGAGGTAAGACTAGCCCAAGGTCACATGGATGGTCAAAGTCAAGACATTAGACAACTTTGGACACGGCCCATCAGTTGGCATTTTTAGCAGTCAGACTTCTGAATTGCCACCAGTGGAAGCCATGCTGGACAGTATGAACAGAGAGGGTGTTCCTTAAGAGCGGATTAGGGAGTCCCAGAGGCCTGGAGACTCAGGCCAGGGGTGGGAATCAAATGGCAGAACTGGATGCGAGGACACAAACTTTTTGGCCACTGAGTACTAGATGCTGTCACTTGCTCACTGACATGAGCCTTGGACACCAGACTCTGGACACGACCACAGCCACCAGCCCAGGAGCCACCACTGCTCAGGAGCTCCATCTGCAGTTTCTCCCCGCCGCCCACCCCAGTTACCACCAGAGGGTGTCCCCACTTCCTGCATCGCCAGCCCTGAGTCGGATCCAGATGGCCCAGCTGATGGGGGAGGCCAGGACTCCAGTGCCTGCACAGTGAGGACCAGCCGTGCTCAGCTTGAGTCATGGGCTCTGCTCCCACCAAGGCTCATGGGAGGCTCACGCAGACCAAGATGGCTCAGAGTTTTTGGCCAAAGAGGATGAAAGATGTGCACCCGACATCATTACTGGGCACACAGTGAATGTGAGGCCGGAACACTGCGGGTCCCAAAGAAGAAGAAAGCACTGTTGCGTGGAGAGGCCCCGCTTTGGAGGCCAGTGCCTGAGCCCTACACCCTGATCACCCCTTACTGGACCCTCCAGCATCTCAGCAAGGTGGACAGGACAGGGCTTATCAGATGACAACAGAGAGGCCCAGCCGCTGGCAGGGACTTGTTGAAGGTGACGGAAGTCACGAGTGAAGCTGCTCTTGTTCCAGGGGGTTGGATTCTAACCCAAAGTTCTTTCCAGTGCACGGAGGCCAGGGCACCGAGGGAGACAGGGCTGCTCTCAGAGCCCGCTCTGCCTGTCTGACCTGTGCTCTAGGCAGGGAGGTGGGTGCGGGGCGTGAGCCTGGGATCAGATCAGACGCAGAGACGCAGTCCAGTGTTCTGTGCGGTCATTGTCCCTGATCTGAATCTGCCCCTTGTCTGCACCCCTCCCGGGAGGGGGAGTGTGGGAGTGCTTGCGCTGGGGGCAGAATGCAAGAATGCCCATTCTTTCTGCAGGGTGGGCCGAAGATAGCTCCTCGTGCGTCGGCTGGGCTCCTTGGGGTCCCTGGAGGGCATTTGTCCGAGGCTATCGCTGGCGGCATCTTTAGCATGGTGGGCCCTCAGTGGACCCTGGGTTCAAACCACAGAATCTCCAACCCAGAGCGTAGGCACAGGGCCACAGGCTTGGAATCCCTGGTGGCCTGGCCTGTGGTCAGTTTACCGAGGTCGTCCAAATGCAGCAGAAATGGCTCAGCCCTGGACTTTGGGGCCTGGGGGGGAACAGTTCCCTGCACAGGAGCAGCTGCTCCATGGCCCTCTGGCCGTGGCGTGGCTTACCTTGCCTGCTTACCTGCCTGAGCCACAGAGAAACTCCTGGGGTGACTTGGGCTGTGAGCCCAGCGAGGCCCTCTGGTCCTGGGGGGAGAGCACTCAGTTTGGAGGCACATGACCCCGAGAGCAGTCCCAGGTCTGCAAACATCAGTGTACAAGCTGGGCAAGTGACCTAGCTGTGCCAAGCCTCACTTTTCCTTCCTTTCAGATGGGCTAATACTATGGGGAGGAATGATAGAGCTTATGGATGAGAGTTGAATGGCGTGTGGTCCACAGTAGGTTCCCGGTGAGCACCTGCGGGAGGCGTGGGTGAAGGATGCACGGACTCCACTGCCGTGGGTCCAGGAAGGCGTGTGTTTTTAGGAGGGTGGAGTGGACGGACCCAGAGGCACCACATAGCCACTGAGACCCTATGTGTGTCATCCAATGGCTGAAAGGCAGGAAAACAGGGCTGGAGACCAAAGGGGATCCCCCAAGTTCTGTGGCGGCCGAGTCCCACCACTGGCGCCCAGTCTCTTCTTAATCTTGTGGGAAAATCACAAACACTGGCTTTAGAATCCATCGGGGTTGAGTTCAGTCCCTTGCTGGATGGCTTTGCCAAGGTCACTGAGCTTTATGGGCCTCGCTTTCTCTCATCTGTGAGATGGAGCAGCAATACCAACCTGTGGGACCATAAAACACCCTGCTCATTATGAGCACCGAAAGGACAAAAGCCCCGGATGTGGCAGAGACAGAGCATCCAAACCTGCGTGTCCCCTGTTGGATGCCATTGTCCCAGCAGG